TAGGAATTCCCACCTGTGCACAAAGCATCAAGGTGACTGCCACAATGACCCTCCTGGGGTGACAATGATGAACACTACTGAGCATGCGCCCATGACACAGCCGGGAAGAACAGAACGGACCACCTCTGCTGATGCTGGCCTGTACCTCTTAACTCCTTTCCCTATAAAAGACCCTGAACAGCTCCCCTTGGGGGCCTAGCTTTACTGTTGCTACCCCCCTTATGCATAAGTCTATCTCCTCTTTTAATAAAGTGTTGCTTGCTTTACTGTTGGGTACATTGTTCATTTCTATGACTCTGGAATCCGAGAGCCTAATTCAATCACTGGTAAAAATTGGAAAGCTTTGGGCACCAGAGAGGACTCCAGCTGCAAGAGGCAAGTGGCCACTGGGACTATTTTGCTCCCATGTTTCTGCTGCTGGCAAATCTCTCCTGGAGTCCCTGGCCTAAATTCTGACGAGGCAATGCTTTATTCTCTTTATCTTTCTCTGATTTTCTGAGCCCTCTTCTACTGTTTGGTCGGATGGTATCCACTACTATGCAGGTGCACCCTGGAGGGATCCCGGCTATGCTTTGTTTTTCTGACTTAAATCTAGTCAATACTTTTCTTCTTTATTCTGAAAACAGTGGGGAGAACTGCTTTTATCAATTACTGTTAATGGAATAGGTTGGTCTCACCGATTGGGACTAGGCTAAACTGGACCCCACTGCTCCTCTTTTCTCTTTGTTTGCTTGGTTAGAAATTTGGTTGAGTACCAGTAATCTGAATAAACCTTCCAATCCTTGCATCAACTTTTGGACTTTCAGGTCATTTGTTTAATGCGAGAGGGCAAGCCAAGCGTGACCTGTCCGTAACATTATTTTCTCTATCTAACCTCAGCACGCAATACATCTATCTGTTCCTCCCCTAATTTACCCAGTCTCAATGAAGAGCATTACCATTTACTCATTTACCCATGTTAGAATTCTCTCTCACCTGTCAAATCTATTTCACCTTCTTAACTGCTTTCAAATTTGTTGTCTCATTTCCACTCACACTACTACAAATTTAATAACAGCTTCATTTATTAAATACCTAAAACACACCTATCACCAAACATTAATCCTTAGATCAATTCTATGAGGTTAGGTAATGTTATCTCCATTTTATAGATGAAGACTCTGAGGCTTAGATAGCTTTGATCCTATGTATTTTGCCTCTACACAGATGAGCTCTAGATCAACACCCCAGTTTTCCCTTCTTCATCTTTGCCTGCACCTGTCTCTCCAACTATACAGGGAGCACCTCCTCTTGGATATCCGGCTGACACATAAAATTTAAGTTAAAAATTGTGCTCAGGATACTTATATTAGCCTCCTGCAGTTGTGCAAACTCACTTAATGCAAAGCCTATTTTATAATAAAGTGCTGAATATCTCCTGTAATTTATTGAATACTGTACTGAAAATGAAAAACAATTGTTGTGTGGTACTCGAAGTACAATTTCTACTGAATGTGTATTGCTTTCACATCATCATAAAGTCAAAAATCATAAGTCAAAACATTTTAGGTTGGGGACCATCTATATTTGATTTCACACTATTCTATCTCTGTGGCTACATGAGTTATGTAACTTATCTGTACTTAAATTTCCATAAATAAAGAATATGATTATAATAGTAATATTAACTTATATTGTCTTATATGGGAAAAACACAATATATAGTGCTAAATCCATTTTTGAGGGGAAACAAATCTCTCCAGTGTGGCATGCTTATAAATTGGTGCTCTAGTATAGCTTAAATTTCAGTCTGGACAACCTTTGTCAGGCACATCATTCTCCCAAGTAAGTATCTGTGATAGTTAATTTTATGTGTCAACATGATTGGGTCATAGGGTGCCCAGATTAAATATTATATGTTTGTGTGTGACTGTGAGGGTGTTTCTGGATGAGGTCAGGATTTGAATTTAGTAAAGTAGACTGCCTTCCCCAATGTGGGTAGGGATTATCCAACCCACTGAGGGCCTGAATAGAACAAAAGGCAGAGGAAAGAGGAATTGCCCTTTTTTTCTGCCTCACCACTTGAGCTGGAACGTCTCATCTCACCTTTTCATGCCCTCTCATTGGGATTTAAACTATCAGCTTTCTTAAAGGTTCTCAGGCCTTCAGACTTGGACTGAATTACACCACTGGCTTTCCTTGGTCTCCTAGTTCCAGACAGCAGATCTTGGATGAGTCAATTCTTTACAGTAAATCTCCTTTTATATATGTATATGTCTCCTATTAGTTCTATTTTTATGGAGAATTCTAACTAATACATTATTTAAAGTGACTATGACATATTCATTAAGTAAAGTATCAGCTCAGCTCCTGCATGTGCAGACCCTCTGTCAACCACACCACTGCCTACTCTTGCACCTCTCCAGCTTCACTTTATCAAACACTCAATGGAGCCATTTGGTTCAAGTAGGCCACAAAATTGATGGCTTCTTATTCCTCAATGCTATGGGTCAAATGCGTCCCCCAAAGATTCACGTATTGGAAACCTGATCTTCATTGTAACAGTGTTAAAAGGATGAGAAATCCAATTAGGGTAATTTGAAAGGTGGGCCTTTAAAAGGTGGTTAGATTGTAAGGACTGTGACCTCGTGAATGGACTTATCCATCATGGTGTAATGGGCATGGTTTTGACTGCTTTAAAAGGAGAGTAAGTGAGGAGGTTAGCTTTATCTTGCTCAGCCCATTCTCGCCATGTGATACTCTGTGTTGCTGTAGAAGAAGGCCCTCACTAGATGTGTTCCCTGGACCTTGGACTTCCCAGTATGTATCCATACTGTAGGAAATAAATTTTGTTTCTTTATAAATCACCCAGTTTCAAGTCTTCTGTTATAAGCAACAGAAACAGAGTAATACACTCAGCCTTCTCTCATCTGTCCCTTTTATATCTCCATGCCCTTCCATTCCTTTTACCAATCCAGGTATATTTATTCCTTTAAGATCCAGATTGGTAGCTGATAAGCAACTGGGTGTCAGGATCAAATCAGTGAGTTCATGCAGTTCAGAACCAAGGCATAAACAGAGAGTACTTGCTGGGGCTGTCTTTTTATGTGGAGCCTGATTATGTAGCCATAACTGTTTACAGTTACAGTGTGATACACTACATGACCTGAAATGTTTTCTTAAACAAAATGCCAAATAAAAATAAACATACCCTGAAATGTATAGCTGAGCTTGCAAAAAGCAAAGGGAAATTCATAGAGGCCAAAGGGGAAAAGAGAGTTGAAAATCAAATTGTGAAGTGATATTGGGGTTGACCTGGGTAGGGTATTTGCCATTCTCAGAGTCTTGCATTTTAACACCCATTCTGAGACTAGGAGACAAGGCCTGAACAAGGCGGGAAATTGGAACTGAGACATATCTCCCAATGATGCAAAACAGCCTTCTTAAACCCATTTTCAGTGAAAGGCTCTGTTTCCATTACTATATCATGCAGAGCTCCACTGACCTGCTCCTAAGTCAAAATTATTAAAAACAAAGCAACAATAAAGAAAAGCCAAACCAAATGAAAACAAAACCAAAAACCCACAAAAACAAACAACAAGAAAACCTCAAAAAATTCAAAGCCTCTGAAAATGGTCCTAAGAGCAAATGGCAAATGTAGGAAGATCTATTCAAGAAAATCTATAAAACTTTACTGCAATGGACTGAATGTTTGTATCCTTACAAAATTAATGTACTGAAACCCTAATCCCAATGTGATGATATTTAGAGGTGAGGCCTGAGGAAGGTAATTAGATAATGAGGGTGGAGCCCTCATGAATGGAATTAGTGACCTTATAAGAAGCAGCCAGAGAATGAGCTAGATCTCTTTCTGCCATGTAATTACGGATAGAAGAAGTCGGCTGACTGCAGCCTGGAAGAGGGTCCTCACCAGAACCTAACCATGCTGGCATCCTGATCTCACACTTTCAGCCTCTAGAACTATGATAAACAAATTTTTATTGTTTAAGGTACCCAGTCTATGGTAATTTGTTATGGCAGGCTGAACTGACTGAGACATTTGGTAAGAAAGGTGAAGATCTGTACTATTTAAATAAAGATTGCTGCCTCCCTGCCCCCTACCAGTTCAGTGAGGCCAAGACTTTGTTCCAGACTGCAGCCAAGAACACAGGGCTCCTTCTCCCCTCAGTACCCAGCTGGAAGGATTTCTTCCCAGGAGGAGCAAGACTTTAGTGTTTCTCATGCTGCCCCCAAGTTTCTGTTGTTGAGGCTAAGCCCCAGGTGAGTGTGATCAAGAGGAAGGGGTTCTCTTCTTTCATCCAATCTACAGTCATGTAAAAAAGACTCTACCTTATGCATGGCACACCGAGAACAATGGAGGAAATGCAACATTAGGGAAATGCAAATAAAAAACTGCGATGGGAATAATCCTTCACACCCAATAGAATGGTTATAATAAAAACAAAAGAAAGAAAAAAAAATGTGTTGGTGAGGAAGGATGTGGAAAAATTGGAATCCTCATATATTCCTGATGGAAATATAAAACAGTGCAGCTGCTTTAGAAGATAGTCTGGCAGTTCCTCAAAAACTTAAACATAGAGTTACCATACGACCCAGTATTCGAATCCTAGGTATATAACTAAGAGAAGTGAATGATTACATTTATATAAATATATCCGGAATAGGCACATCTACAGCAACAGAAAGTAGATTAGTCATTGCCCAGGAGCTGGGGGAGGGAGGAATGGGCACTAACTGGTAATGGTTATGGGGTTTACTTTTGGGGGTGATAAATATATTCTGGAATTAGTAGTGGTAACTTTTGTACAAGCTTATAAATATAAAAAGTCCATTGAATTGTCCAACTTTAAAAGGTTGAGTTTAATGATGTGCATTATATCTCAAAAAAAAAAAAAGAAGAGGGAAATAGTTGCTTTCACTTGGTTCATTATGGTTTGGCTCAAGAGGTTGGAAATCACTTGATTAGCCTCACTCGGTATCAACAAAGACTAATATCTTACCTCAGTTCCGGTTTCTCTCCAATCCCAAGCCCGACTGCCCCCTGGCCATACTTTGCAGTCCTTATAGGTTGTAGCAGAGCCTTGTACTTTCATTTGCCCCCATGAAAGGGAAGCAATTTCAGGGGAAGACATAATGAACTGAAATCTGAAATTAAAAGAAAAATATACTAAATCAGGTATAAAATAAAGTTGAAACAGCTCCAAAATACAAGGATAGTAGGCCTCAATTCTCCATGATTTGAGAAGCATTTTCTCATTTATGTGGTTGTCACTTCTTCTCTAGAGGTATAAAAAGTAACTCTTATTTTTGGGGATCCTGAATCATCCAACCATTGAAACCAGATATTACAATTACTTCTCAGACTCTGGAGGGAATCCTCAGGTTATTTTTTGAGACAAAATTAAAAGGTGGAAATTTATTCCAGCATGGAGTGAGGACGCTGACACATCCTCTCCCCCCAAAGAAACTATAAAGCTGGAAAAAAACTGTGAAAAAAGCACCATTCGTCACTCTAGAAATAAAATTAAAGGCACACCACAAACTGAGAAGTGCTTATTCATGAAAACTACTGAACTTCAGGTAAAGACAGAAAGTTATTTTGTTGTTCTTGTCTGGGACTACTCCCATTATCCCACTCCAATCCTGTTGGCACCAAAGTTCAACTAGGTTGGGACAGGACATGAAACTGAATAGCCTTGGGCTGGCCGGTTAGCTCAGTTGATTAGAACGTGGTGCTGATAACACTAAGGTCAAGGGTTTGGATCCCAATACCAGGCCAGCTGCCAACCCCCCCCGCCACACAAAAACAGAACAGCCTTGCTGCCACTGTCCAAGGAGGCTCACTTGATTTGCACATTAGCAGTTTTAACTGATGAACTCAATGGCAAGCAAATATGGATTGCAGGTGGTTCTGCTCACCTGATATTGCCTATTGTTTGGGCAAAGTAATGGATTAGCAGAGTAGGCAGAGATTTAACAGGAATTTCCCCATAGGACACAGCCATACGAGGCTTTATAAGCTCTCTACAAATCCCAAGTGGACCTGAAGCTGCAAACTTATGTACCAAAGACCTGAGTAAGCCTAAGTCACCCAAACATTCTGGGCTGATGGAGCCTGAGGACGTGCACAGTGGAGAAGTGAGAAGGATCAAGAGGGCCCAGAAGAATATAAAAGCCAGTGAAAACAAAACAGCTGGAACTATGAATGTACTCCCCAGTGCACAAACTGATCCATCAGTAGAGAGTGAAAGTCTTTTTTCTGTTTGTTTGGTCATTTTTTGCTTTTTGGGGGGTGGCTGGCTGGTACAGGGAGAGTGTGAAAGTCTTACTGGCTCCAGGTGTTTGAGCAAATCCTTTGACTAATCTTTGGCTGAACATTAAGCTATGTAGACACAGAGGAGACCTCTGGGAAACCAGGCTTGAAAAAACAAAATGAACACAGACTTCAGTGGCCACACACTTCATGGGAGACAGAATTCACACGTTTAGTGCTATGTTTTGAATGTTTGTCACCTCTCAAATTCATGCTGAAATTTAATTGCCATTATAACAGTATTGAGTTAGGACCTTTAAGAGGTGAATGGATTAATGTTGTTATTACAGGAATAGGGTTCATTATCGTAGGAGTGGATTCCTTATAAAAGAACAAGTTTGGCCCCCTTTTGACTCTCTCTCACCCTCTCTTTACCTTTCTGCCATGTGATGCCTTCTGCCATGGAATGACACAGCAAGAAGGCTCTTGCAAGATGTAGCCCCTTAATCTTGGACTTCCCAGCCTCCAGAACTGTGAGAAATAAATTCTTGTTCATTATAAATAACCCAGTGCCAGATATTTTGTTATAGCAGCACAAAAGGGACTTAGACATTTAGTATACACAAGTGACTAAACACACAAACAAATAAACAAAGAACAACAGCTTTTGGCAGTCGGGGGAGGGAGGATCACAATCTAAACTTCCTACAATATATTATCTAAAATGTCCAAGTTTTAAAAAAACAAACAACTACAAGACATGAACTGAAACAAACATGTGTGACCCACATTTAGTGAACTGAAACTGTATTTGAATATTCCCAGATGTCTGATTTAGCAAAGACTCCAAAAAAGGAATTATAAAGAAAACAATGTATAAAGAATTAAATGAAAGTACGATTACAATGACTCAATGAATACAGAATCTCAATAAAGAGACATTTGAAAAAATAATCAAATAAAATTCTAGCATCAGTAAGTACAATAACAAAAAGGTGATTTTTATCAGTCAGGGTTCTCCATGGAAACAGAAGCAGTACATTACATATATTAAGAAACTTACTTCAAGGAAGTGGCTCACACAATTGTGGGGGTTGGCAAGTCCAAAGTGTGTAGAGAATGCTGGTATGCTGCTAACTCTTAAGCAGAAGTTATTGTTGCAGTATTGAGGTAGTATTTCTTCTTCTTCTAGGTAACATCAATTTTGCTCTTTAGATCTTTTAACTGTTTAGATGAGGCCCATTCTGCATATCAAGATTAATCTCATTTATATAATAGTCTACTGATTGTAGATATTAAATACATCTACAAATACCTTCACAGCAATACCTAGATTAGCATTTGACTGAATAACTGGTTATTAGAACCTAGCCAACTTGGCAAATAAAACTAACCATCACAGTCCACCCCTCATCAATTTGGCACTAATACATATCTCCTAAACTGTAGTTAATTACCAAATAAAGACAATTATAAAGTTACTTCTGCCTATCATTAATAACTACTAATCTATTTTTGCAACTTCAACTTCTGACTATCCGATTTTTAAAAATATAAGAAAGTAGATAAACATACTGTTTTGGATGCTATGAGAAGAAGATACAAATTTACAAAACATGATTCCTGTTCTTGAGGAGCTAATACTACACTAGAGGAGAGAGGACACGTACATACAATTACAGTACAAGTACGGTAACTTAAAAAAAATACAAGGTAACTTTTGAAAAGTGGTATAAGGGACCTATAATGAATTGGTATGAGTGTTGAAGACTTCTGTATTAGTCTGATAGGGCTTCCATAACAAAATATGAGACTGGGTGGCTTAAACAACAGAAATTAATTTTCTCACAGTTCTGGAAGCTGAAAGTCCAAGGTCAAGGTGCCAGGAGGATTGGTCTCTGGTGAGGCCTCCCTTCCTGGCTTGCAGATGCCTGCCTTCTTGCCGTGTTCTCACATGGCCTTTTCTGCATGCAAGTAAACCCTTGGTTTCTCATCTTCTTTTTATAAATGCACCAGACCTATTGAATTAGGGTCCCACCTTTATGTTGTAATTTATCCTTAACTACCTCCTTAAAGACCTTATTTCCAAATACAGTCACATTGGGGTTAGGGCTTTAACATTTGAATTGGGGGGGAGGGCACAAGTCAGTCCATGGGGCACATTCAGTCCATCAGTCCAACTTCTGAGTAGGGAATCTTAAAAACCAGAATGAGGAAATAGTATCTGAACTAGATCTTGAAATTCAACTGGGAAAGAAAGGAATTAATATTTATTGTGAAACTACTATGTGCCAGATACTTTAGATAGGTTATCTCAACAACCCCAAGATTAGAGAATGGTTAGAAACTGACCCAAGATTATATAGCTAATAAGTGAGAAAATCAGGACTTGAATCTCCAGTCTGTCTGACTCTACAGCATGTGTTCTTCAATTCATTTTGCCATTCACCCCTCCCCCTAAACTTTACATCGAATAACTATTAAACAAGGAAGTGCATAGAAAAATTACATAGAAATTTAGTATTAGCAAAATAACTTTCTGGGAGATAAAATGCTTTTTTGGGAGTATGAAGGAGGAAGATAGGCCTGATGTCATAATCATTTTATTAGTTAAACAGAACCAAAAGCATGGTGGCTTAAGTAAGACAAAAGTTTAAAGTCCAAAGGTAGTTAAAATAGGGCAGATATGGCAATTATCTACAAAACTGGGAATCAGGTTGCTTCCAGCTTTCAGCTTCACAATCCTGAAGAAGTGGTCTTCACCCTCATGGTCTAATATGGAGCTGTACCATGTGCCAAGCAGCAGAACAAAGAGAAAAAGTACAAAGGGCAAAGTACATATTTCCTGGCAGTTTTCAGAGAATACTTCTGTTTAAATCCTATTGTCAGAATGTAGTCACATGGTTGCATTCAATTGCAAAGAAGGTTAGAATATGTACGGTTTATTCCAAGAGTCAATGTGCCCAACTAAAAATTAGGTATTCCAAGATGGGAATAATATATAATGGGGAACTATTAGGATCTGAGATAATTATTTATCCTTATAATTCAGATTATTATTATTTTTTTTAAAGTATGGATATTCTTTGGTCTAGTTTACTTCATGAGATAATATTCATTTTTTATTTTCCTCTGTATCTCACTCTCAGTATTAAGGACTTTGGATAATTATAACTATTATGTGCAAGCTCCTTCATTGTACTTAGCATGTTCTCCAAGAAGAATTTACTCTATTTGTGCTCTAGAATTGTTCCCAGAGTTAACCTCTCTTCCATCTAATTTCCTATTGTGCTTTGTTTATATTTACTATTGTTGTTATTATTTTGGTGGCTGGCCAGTACAGGGAATGAACCCTAGACCTTGATGTTATCAACACCACACTCTAACCAACTGGCCAGCCCTTGTATATATCTATTATAATGTTTATTAATACCTAGCATTAAAATCACCTAATCACCCTGGATTTATCACAATCTGATTTATATCAGATTTCATTAGCATGGCAGTGTTAACTTCTCCAAGTACTGGTTTTTTAATCAGTTTATCACCTGCTCTTCTGATGTCTGAAAGCCTTCTATTCTTTTTTTTTTTTTCCTTTTTGTCTTTTTTCGTGTCCGGCAACGGATTGCAACCCTCAGTGTTGCACCCGTAGCGGGCCGGGACCGGCAACGGGATCGCAACCCTCAGCGTCGCGTCTGCACCTTGCTCAGCCAGTGAGCGGGAACCGGTCTGTATGTGGGATCCGAACCCTCGGCGGGACTCAGCGTCGCGTCTGCGCCTTGCTCAGCCAGTGAGCGGGAACCGGTCTGTATGTGGGATCCGAACCCTCGGCGGGAGCGCCGTTGCGCTCTCAAGCGGCGCACTGTAGCAGTGCACCACCGGGCCGGCCCTGAAAGCCTTCTATTCTGAAATTAAAATTTAAAATCCATATTTTTTGTTTCAAAGCTTGTGACTACTGTGTAACAGTAATAACAGGAATATAGTAATAATAATATCAATATCAACAACTTTCAGAATAAACTTGCAATGCACACATCATAATTTCCACTTTCAGAGAAAGAAATACTCTAAAGTTAAATAACTTTAACAAAGTTATTTCTGGGTGGTAAAGGTGAGATTTAAACCTAAATCCATCAGACTTCAAAACTTATGTTCTTTCCATTATATCACACTGCCTTGATACCAGCAGCATTCTTTTGCAAGTACATAAGAAGTCTTTTCCTAAGCATTTGAATTACCCTTAAAATCCATTTCCTCCATGAAATTCATCAAAAAAGAAGTACTGGTTTCCTCATGCCCTTCTCAGTTTGGTAACAAAATAATAATTAAGAGATTCTATGATCTTCATTATGTATTTACTTCTGTAGAAACTTTGCATCCTCTAAATTCTTCAAAACACTTAAGCTGTTTAGTTCACTGTTGGGAATGAAATCGTTGCTTCCTTAAACCCCGTTAAGTAAATGTGTCCTTTATTTGTATTTGCTGATATATAATTTGTATTTTTATTGAGTTAGTATTTCTATTTTTTTAATGTAGTACATGTAAATCTGTATGAATTGTGTCTAAAATTATAATCTCTTAAAGCACCACATAAAAAAAAGATTATATAATGGACACTTTTCCTGTTGTTGACAGCTTTCTTTAACATATGCTGGTAACAAGTAATAAAAGGTTTCAAAAGCAGTTTTATCTACAGTTTGAATTTGCGTTTAGTTGGCTTTTCAGTTTATTTCTATTCAGGAAACATATTCGAGCTTCTACCATGTGCTATGAGCTGGCAGGAGAAATAATAAAGTAGGTAGGGCTACTCAAAGATAAACGGGACCATTTCAAGACTTCAAAAAGGGAGGTCAAAATCTAGAGGAAATGACAGATATATATTAATATACTATTAACTGTAATGCAAATCAGACTGTGAAAAGTTCAGGATGAGTAGGGGATTTTAATGTTACGTATTAATAAAATTTATAGTAAATAAAAACAAAGCACAATAGGAAATTAGAGGGAAAAGTGATTAACTCTGGGAAGGCTTCTAGAGCACAAATGGAGCGAATTCTTCTTGGAGAACATGAATTTAAGACTGACTATGAAAAAAAAATTAGCAGGCAAATATGGGGAGGATCAGGGAGTGAAGATTTTTTTTTTAATAAAGTGTACATGAGAAAATACTGGAAACAAATTTCAAGAATAAATATAGAAGCTCCTCTACTTGTGAAGTTTCATTTTATAAACTCAAAGATAAGAGTACGTTTATATATGAGAATGAACTCTGCCTGCCACCAATAGATGATGTTAACGGTCATTTGTATATTGTCTCTTTGAAACCTCCAATTTGTTAAGTACTGTACAGGCTTCTGATTTCAATATGACATTTCTAGTGTACAGAGTGTATTAGGTGGGGGAGAGTTAGTGTGTCAGGAGAGATGTAGCTGGAGAGGTAAGTTGTATTCAGATTATGGTGGATATTGTATGTATGTTAAAAGATTTGAACTTTTTGTTTGAGAAAATGAAGCCACAAAACGTTTGTAAACAGAATAGTGACATAATTTGATACAAGATTTAAAAAGATATCTAAGGTAGTGTGAAAGGTGGCTCCTTCTTCCATACTGGCTGGAAGAAATTATTTCCCACTGGTAGGAATGGGCTGGATGAGTAAACACACAAAGGAAAGGATAGAACAGGATGTACAACAGGTCTTCGAAAAGTTCATGGAAGGATTCCTTATTATCTTTTTTTTTTTTTTTTTTTTTGATGACCGGTAAGGGGATCTTAACCCTTGACTTGGTGTTGTCAACACCACGCTCTCCCAAGTGAGCCAACCGGTCATGCCGGTCCTCTTTTCTTTTCTTTTTTTTTTTTTTGATGACCGGTAAGGGGATCTTAACCCTTGACTTGGTGTTGTCAACACCACGCTCTCCCAAGTGAGCCAACCGGTCATGCCGGTCCTCTTTTCTTTTCTTTTTTTTTTTTGACCGGTAAGGGGATCGCAACCCTCCGAACGCCAGTGAGCACACCGGCCATCCCTATGTAGGATCCGAACCCGCGGCCTCAGCGCCACCACCACTGCACTCTCCCGAGTGAGCCACGTGGCCGGCCCCCTCTTATTATCTTTTAATTCCATTTCTCCATGAACTTTTTGAAGTACCTTTGTATTAAGAGTGGTCCTTGGAACACCAGGATGGGAATCACATTACGTGCTCACAGATACCTAGGCTCCAACGAAGATCTACTAAATAGGAATTTCAGGGAGTAGCCAAGGAATCTGCTGTATTTATCAGTTGATGGGCATTTGAGTTGTCTCTGATTTTGGCTATTAGAAATAATGCTGCTATGGACATTTGTGTACAGAGTTTTACATGGGCATATGTTCATTGCTCTTGGGTATATACCTTGGAAAGAAATTTCTGGTTTAAATGATAACTCTATGTTTAACATTTTGAGGAACTGTCAAATTGTTTTTCACAGCATACGCACCATTTTACAATTCCACTAGCAGTGTATAATGGTTTCAATTTCTCCACATCCTTGTCAACACTTGTTATTTCCCTTAAAAAAATTTTTTTTTTTTAGTCATCCTAGTGGGTGTGAAGCGTTATCTCACTGTGGTTTTGAGTACTTGTTTCCCTCATACCTAATGAAGTTGAGCATCTTTTTATTTGCTTATTGGCTACTGCTTTAATTTCTTTGAAAAAAGGTCTATTGCATCTTTTATTCATATTTTAATTATCTGTCTTTTTTTTTTTTTTTTTTTTTTTAAAAGATGACCGGTAAGGGGATCTTAACCCTTGACTTGGTGTTGTCAGCACCACGCTCAGCCGGTGAGCAAACCGGCCATCCCTATATGGGATCCGAACCCGGGGCCTTGGTGCCATCAGCACCGCACTCTCCCGAGTGAGCCACGGGCCGGCCCTAATTATCTGTCTTTTTGTTATTGACTTTTTTTTTTGGTGGCTGGCTGGTACAGGGATTGAACTCTGGACCTTGGTGTTATCATCACCACTCTATAACCAACTGAGCTAATCGGCAGCCCATCCCTTATTAGATACATGACATTCAAAATATTTTCTCCCATTCTATAGTTTGCTTTTTCACTTTCTTGATACATGTCTTTTAAAGAACACAAGTTTTTAATTGTGATAAAGTCCATTAATTTATCTTTCCTTTTGTTACTTGTAGATTTGGTGTCATATCTAAGAATCCAGTGCCATATGGTGGGTCATAAAAATTTATCCCTGTTTTCTTCTAACAGTTTTATAGTTTTGGCTCTTACATTTAGTTCTTTGCTCAAATTTGAGTTCATTAGTTATATGGTACGAGATAAGGGTCCAACTTCATTAGTTTGCATGTGGCTATCCAGTTGTTAGGCACCACTGTTGAAAAGACTATTATTTCACTATTGGCACACTTGCCTGAACTCAATTTACCATATACAAAGGTACTTCAAAGAGCTCATGGAAAAACAGAATTAAGAGATAAAATGATTTTTTCCAAGAACTTTTAAAAGTACCCTCATATGGACTTATTCTGGCCTCTTAATTTTACTCCAGTGATATGTATGTTTATACTTATGCCAGAACCATAGTCTCGATTATTGTAACTTTGTAGTAAGTTTTGAAATTGGGAATTGGTGAGTCCTCTAACTTCATTCTTTTTGAAAATTCCTTTGGCTATTCTGACTCCTATGCCTATTTTTTAATAGGGTCATTTGTATTTTTATTGTAGAATTATAATAGTTTGTTTTATATTCTAGGTGCAAGTATTTTATCTGTATAATTTATCTCATTCTGTGGTTGTCTTTTCATGTTGTTGTTGATTGTGTCCTTTGAACCACAGAAGTTTTCAATTTCTTTTTTTTTTTTTTTGTCTTTTGTCTTTTTCCGTGTCCGGCAACGGATCGCAACCCTCAGTGTTGCCCCCGTACCGGATCGGGGACCGGCAACGGGATCGCACCCCTTGGTGTTGCTCCCGCGCCTCGCTCAGCCAGTGAGCGGGAACCGGTCTGCATGTGGGATCTGAACCCTCGGGCGGGAGCGCTGCCGCGCTTTCCAAGCGGCGCACTATCCAGGGCGCCACCGGGCCGGCCCAGAAGTTTTCAATTTCTTTTTTTTTTTTTTTGTCATTTGTCTTTTTCCGTGTCCGGCAACGGATCGCAACCCTCAGTGTTGCCCCCGTACCGGATCGGGGACCGGCAACGGGATCGCACCCCTTGGTGTTGCTCCCGCGCCTCGCTCAGCCAGTGAGCGGGAACCGGTCTGCATGTGGGATCTGAACCCTCGGGCGGGAGCGCTGCCGCGCTTTCCAAGCGGCGCACTATCCAGTGCGCCACCGGGCCGGCCCAGAAGTTTTCAATTTCAATGAAGTCCAATTCTCTACTTTTTCTCTTATTGCTTATGTTTTTGGTGTCATACCTAAGAAACCATTGCCTAATTCAAGGTCTGAGAGATTTATGTCTGTTTTCTTTTAATAGTTTTATCGTGTTAGATCTTACATTTAGATGTCTGAACTATTTAAATTTTTTGTATGATGTGAGTTAGGGGTTAAACTTCTTTCTTTTCTATGTGGATCTCCAATTTTCCCAGCACCTTTTATTGAAAAGGCTATTCTTTCCCCTTTGGATTGTCTTGGTATCCTTGCTGAAAATCAACTGACTCTAGACATATGGGGTTATACTTGGAGTCTCCGTTCTATTCCATGTATCTATATGGATATCAGCTTGGGCTGCGATGACAAAATACCATAGACTGGGTAGCTTAAACAAAAACTTATTTCTCACAATTCTGGGGGCTGAGAAGTCCAAGATCAAGGTGCTGGCTAGGTTGATGTCTGGTGAGGGTTCTTTCCTTGGGTTGCAGATGGATGCCTTCTCTCTGTGTCCTCACACGGTCTTTTCTTGATACATGAATGTGGACACAGGGAGCTCTCTCAATTCCTCCTATAAAGCCACAATTGTAATGGATTAGGTCCTCATTCTCATGACCTCATTTTTTTTTTTTTGTCCTTTTTGAAACCAGCTGCACTGTGCTCAGCCAGTGAGCGCACCGGCCATCCCTATATAGGATCCGAACCCGAGGCAGGAGCGCTGCTGCACTCCCAGCGCCACACTCTCCAGAGTGCGCCTCAGGCTCAGCCCCTCATGACCTCATTTAATTACTCCTTAAAAGCGCTGTCTCCAAATACCGTCATACAGGTGGTTAGGGCTTCAACATATGAATTTTGGGGAGACATAATTCAGTCCACAGCAGCTATCCTATGGCAGTACTACACAGTGTTGATTACAGAAGCTTTGTAGTAACTTTTGAAATCAGGAAATATCAGTCTTTCAACTTTATTAATCATTTTAAAGATTGTTTTGTATAGTCTGGGTCCCTTGCATTTCCATATTAATGTTATCAGCTTTTCAATTTCTGCAAAGAAGCCAGATGGAATTTTGATGGGGACTGCACTGAATCTGCAGTTCAATTTGAAGAGTATAGCCATCTTATTAATATCACATCTTTCACTCCATGAATATGAGTTGTCTTCCCACGTAGGTCTTCTTTAATTTTCTTTAACAATATTTTATAATTTTCAGAGTCTTAGATTTCTTTTAAAAATTTTATTCTTAAATACTTTATTTTTGATGCTACTGTAAATGGAATTATTTTAATTTCATTTTTGGATTGTTCATTGCTAACATTTAGAAATACACTTGATATTTGAGTATTTATCTTGTATCTTGCAAACTTACTGAACTTATTAATTCCAAAAAAATTTTTTTTTGGTGATTCCTTAGGATGTTGTATATACAAGATGATGTCATTTAGGATAGAGCTTGTTTTACTTCTTCCATGACAATCTGGAAGCCTTCTATTTCTTTTCCTTGACAATTGCCCTGGCTGGAACATATATATAGCAGACATTCTTGTCTTTTTCTGATCTTAGGGGGAAAGCATCAGTTTTCAGCATTATATATGAGATTAGATGTGGGTTTTTCATAGATGCTCTTAATCAGGTTGGAAAACTTCCCTCCTATTCCTAATTTGTTGAGTTTTTTTTTTTTTTTATCATGAAAGAGTACTGGAATTTGTCAAATGGTTTTTCTGCATCTATTGAGGTGACCGTGTTGTTTTTGTCCTTTATTCTGTTAATATGGTATATTGGTAGATTTTTGGATGTAAGCCAACATTGCATACTGAGATGAATCCACTTGGTCACGGTGTATATCCTTTTTATATGTGGCTGAAATTGGTTTGCTAGTATTTCATTGAGGATTGTTGAGTCTAGGTTCATATGAGGGTATTGGTTTGTTTTCTTGTGATATCTTTGTTTTGCTATCATGGGAAATCTGTCCTCACAGAATGAGTTGGGCATACTTCCCTCTCTTCTACTTTTTGTTATAAATTTCTGGAGGACTTATATTAAGTCTTTAAACTTTTGGTAGAATTTACAATAAAGCCATCTGGACCTGGGCTTTTTCTCTTTTTTGAGAGTGGTAGGGTGGGGGGCAAATTTTAAATTCCTAATTCAACCTTATTACTTACTATAGGTCCATTTAGATTTTCTACTTCTTGAGTGAGTTTCGACAGTTATTCACAGTGTGAAAAGAAAATGACACAATTAAGGCTATGGCTTTAAAGTGGAGTTGCGAGATTGCAAGAGGATTGCGCTCATACCTGCTGAAAGGTAAAACCACATGATGTTTCAACAGACTTGGATAACAAATGAAGTCAGTATCTGCCAGCCTTTGACATTTCCCACTGGAAGTACCTTAAATTGAGTAACCAATCAGAATAGGTTTGCAATTTAGGATTTTTGCCCAGCCAATGAAATGCCTTCAAGAACAAATTTTTGTGGAACTCCCCTATAAAAAACCTTTCCTGTGCTTGCCTATGGAACACTATTCAGTCCCAATATAGTGTACCCAAACTGCAATTCTTTTTTCCCAAATAAATGTTATTTTCTTTGACCTCTGTGTTAATCGTTCCCCCCCCCCATTTTTTTCAGTTAACAGTATATTCCCTTATAATCCTTTTTTATTACTATAAAGTAGATAGTGATGGTCTCTTTTCTTTCTGATTTTTGTAATTTGAATTTTCTCCTTTTTTTCTTGGTGAGTCTAGCTTAAAGGAATGTTCTTGGTTTCAGTGGTTTTCTCTACTGTTTTTCTATTATCTACTTCATTGATATCTATGTTAATCTTTATTGTTTCCTTACTTCCACTTGCTTTGGGTTTTTATCTTTTTCCAGTTTTTTAAGGTGAAAAGTTCAGTTATTGATTCAAGATCTTTTAAAAATAGGCACTGACAGCCGTATATTTCCCCTGAAACAGTACTGTAGATGCATCCCATAAGTTTTGATAGTTTATATTTTCATTTTTATTAATCTAAAAATGTCCTAGTTTTCCTCATGATTTCTTTTTTGAACCATTGATTACTTAGGCATGTATTGCTCAATATCCACATATATGTGAATTTTCCATATTTCCTCCTGTTCTTGATTCTAGTCTATGTGTTTAAAAGCATATTTAAGTAATTCAATCTTCTAAAATTTACTGAGGCTCTTTTTTGGTTAATGTCCTAGCATACAGTTATCTTGGAGAATTTTCCATGTGCATTTTGGAAGAATGTGTATTTTGCTATTGTTTTGTAGTGTTCTTCAGATGTTTGTTAAATCGAATTGTTTTAGAGTATGTTCAAGCCAATTTCTTGTTGATCTTCTGCTTGGTTGTTCTACCAATTATTGAAAATGGGTATTAAAATCTCCAAGTATCATTGTTAAATTCTGTTTCTCCTTTCAATTGTCAGTATTTGCCTCTTTATATTGGGGCTGTTTTTAGGTGCATATACATTTTTAATCATTATATCTTCTTGACGTATTGATTCCATGTGGGTTTGGTAAACCAGTTGTACCTCTGGCTTTAGGAATGAAGCATTGATCTAGGTTAAGGTATTGAGCACATTCTATGCTCACTTTCTACACTAGTCACACTGTTTGGTTCAGGGTTGAATATATGAGCTGAGTTGGACCAATCAGTGTCAATTTAGGACTTTTTGGGGTGAAATTCTTAGATATTGAAGATGGGCAGTGTAGAATGTAGAAGGGTTCCTTAAAACTGTTAGTATGAGGGAATTCAGTCTAAAAATTAGGTCCACACAGAGGAAGGCAAAACAGAGAGAAAGTACTAAGAAACAGAGTTACCACCTGATCAGACCACTATGATAAACATGAGATACAAATGGTCTTTTCAATTATATGAGGCAATAAATTCTCTTTATTGCTATGTCTGTTTGTCTTTTACTTGCAACCAAAAGAATTCTGACATAATAACCAACCTCGCCATAATGATCTAGCAGATATCTGAAAGTGTTATCTCTCTTTTTTTTTTTTTAAAAGATGACCGGTAAGGGGATCATTTTTTTTTTTTTTTGTGACCGGCAACGGATCGCAACCCTCAGTGTCGCGCCCGTACCAGACCGGGACCGGCAACGGGATCGCAACCCTCGGTGTTGCTCCCACGCCTCGCTCAGCCAGTGAGCGGCCGGTCTGTATGTGGGATCCGAACCCTCGGCGGGAGCGCCTGCTGCGCTTCCCAAGCGGTACACTGTAGCAGTGTGCCACCGGGCCGGCCCTAGGGATCTTAACCCTTGACTTGGTGTTGTCAGCACCACGCTTGCCCAGTGAGCGAACCGGCCATCCCTATGTGGGATCCGAACTCTTGGCCTTGGTGTTATCAGCACCGCACTCTCCCGAGCGAGCCACAGGGCCGTCTCTGAAAGTGTTATCTTAATAGTACTGAAGAAATGCTTTTGTCAACAAGGCTCTGCTTAGCATTTGGAAAACTGATGCATTTGGCATGTCATAAAATTTTACTGAAGAATATAAAAACTATGGTATTCATGCACAGAGGTCATCCAGGAATATGAAGGTAAAATAGATATTTTATGCAGTAATATATATTTCCTTTGTCATAATCAAGTGATAAGATCCATTTGTGGGGAGCTGATGGCAGACCCCACCTCCTTGCAACAGGCAAGAACATGCTGAAAACACAACTTAGCCATCACCACAGCCATGGCTGCCACAAATGCAGTTCCCTGCCATAGTAGTAGACACAGCCACTGTGCAGGCAGCCTACCAGACACTTGAGTACATTGACACAAGGAGAATCACCAGTGGAGACTGGAAAAAGAAGAGGAAATCTCTCTCTTCAAAACCCTACACTACAGAGTAGTAGAAGAAGCAACTGCTCTACCAGATGACCACACATCATCAAAGAGATACTAGAAATATGAAAATGCAAGAAAACATGACATCACCAAAAGAATACAGTAATCCTCAAATACCAGACCCTATACAGCAGGAAACCCTTGAAATGACTGAAAAGGAATTCTGATCAACAGTCTTAAGGAAACTCAATGAGATATGAGAGGACTCAGACCACATAATGAAATAAGAAAAAAAATCCAGGATATGAAGGAGGAAATTTACAAAGAGATTAATACCTTAAAAAAGAATGTAGCGGAACTCATGGAACTGACTCATTCAATGAAATAAAAAATACAACCAAGAGCATAAGCAGCAGGCTAGAACAAGGAGAAGAATTTCTTATTTTGAAGATAGTTTTATCGAAATAACCCAGGTAGACATAAAAAAGAAAAAAGAATTTCAAAAAATGAAGAAAATCTAAGAGAGCTAGCAGACAACATTAAGGACACAAATATTAGAATCATGGGTGTACCAGAAGGAGAGAAGAAAGGAAAAGGCACTGAAAACCTATTCAATGAAATTACAAAAGAAAACTTCCCAGTATAGGGAGAGACAGGGACCGTCAGATCCAGGAGGCTCAAGATCCCCAAACAGATTCAATCCAAAAAGATCCTCTCTGAGATACATTATAGTCAAAGTGGCAAAGCTCTAAGACAAAGAGAGAATCCTAAAAACAGCAAGAGAAAA